AGTACTGCTGATGTAACTCAATAGAGTGCTTGCCTGTGATCCTAGTACTCTGAAGGTAGGGGTAAGGAGGATCAGGAGTTCAGGGTCATCCAGCCTACACTACAGGATCAAATAAGACCTTGTCTTCTAAACAAAAACACAGACACACAGACATAGACACACACACACACACACACACACACACACACAACCCACAAGGAAACAAAGCAAAAAAGGGCAACAGTACTAGTTGAAGTACTGACTGATATCAGGTCTTTAGTGTATAGCTAGCTGTCTGACCTTAGAAAATTTATTTTTAATACTTTAAGTTCACTACAAAATGAGTGAGAAGAGCCAGATGTGGTGGTGGTGCAAGCTTTTAATCCCATCACTTGTGAGGTTGAGACAGGAGGACTGCTGCAAGTTCTGGCCAGCCTGGGCTACACAGTGAGTTCCTGCTCAGCCTGGGCTACCTGTCTGAACCAACAACAACAAAAACCTATCCAAAGTACATAAGAACTTGGTTAAGTGAAAAAATAAGCAAGTATACACAATGTAATATGTATAAAATATTTAAAGGATACATTGTAATTACATATATATTTATGTACAGAGAAGGAGCAGGGTTTACAACTAGTATCTCTGGGGAGGAAGGTGGAATTGGATGATCGTCAAAAGGAGTAAAAGCAGCTTATGTTTGAATTTTTAAATTTATTTAATTTTTATTTTATGTGTATGAGTATATTGCCTGCATGTATGTACAATGCTGGCAGAGATCAGAGAGGGTGTCAGATCCCCTGGAACTGAAGTTACAGAAGGTTGTTAGCCACTGTGTGGGTACTGGGAACCAAAACCAGATCCTCTGAAAGAACAACCAGTGCTCTTAACCACTGAGCAATCTCTCCAGTCCCTTTACTGTTTGAATTTTTATGAGAATATGATCTTAGAAAATAAAATGGCCATGGTAGCACATAACTGTAACCCCAGCACTTGGGAGGTAGAAAAAAGAGGACAAGGAGTTCAAGGTCAGCTCTGGCTATATAGAGGATTTGAAGCCAGCCTGAATTGTATGAGACTGCTATCTCAAAAAGAAAACAACAACAAAAATACCTATCCACATGTGTGTGTCTGGGCATGTAGTTCAGTGGTAGGACATATGACTAACATGCATAAAGCCCTGAATTTGATCCCTAGGAATGAAAAAAAAAGTTAAAATACAAAGATAGTACATGATCTCTAATATTCTAAGATTCTTTCTAGGGAATTTTCAGATTTCAATTTTGATATTTTGTTACTTGAGTATACACAAAGTATCATCACAGACACAGCATCACTGACTAAAACTTGGAAGCTATTGCTGTCATCTAGATCAGTGGGTAGAGAGCTTTGCTTGATGCATATTAATATCATTCATGACAGCTGTTTCTCTCATTTTAGCCAAGAAGGAAGTTCTGTGGTCACTGGCATCCTAGTTTCTAGTTCATTGCTTAGCTCATTAAACTAGCACCAAAACTGCCAACATAGAGCCCCCTAACTATTCAGGTGTATTTAAGTATACCCAATTTCTCCCAAGTCAAGACATATTCAGAGAGTTGTTTTTCATACAAAGTTGAAACAGCAGACACAGGTAGATGCAAGAAAAAAAGTTTCTGGCTAGCAGCCATAAACACAATAACAGTAATACAAAGATGGGAGGTGATGGTATGAAATACAGGGTATTCTAATTGTTGAATCAAATTGTTTCCTGATTTGGTACTGCAGCCCCCAAAGGGCAGGTCCTCTCTATTGTGTATCCTGTACCAAAACCTTTTTAAAGAAAATTATGTGTAGGCCCTTGGAAGAAGCCGAAGAAGATGGCCTACTCTCTCAGGACCAACTTGAAGCTGAGGAAGAAGAGAGATCTCAGAGATCACGGCGGACCTCACTGGTCTCCTTGAGAAGAGAACCCCCCCCCCATGTGGGTACTGGAAAGGATGGATACCTCACTTGTTAGAGGATTTTGGAGATGGAGGTGCTTTTCCAGAAATCCATGTGGCCCAGTATCCACTGGATATGGGGCAAAAGAGAAAAATGTCAAATGCACTGGCCATTCAGGTGGCACCTGAAGGGAAAATTAAAATATGATGTAATTACTCAACAAGGGCAATCAAAAGACAAAGTCATTTATAGCAAGAATACTGACCTGGTTCCAAAGGAGGTTATGAATGCAGATGACCCGGACCTGCAAAGACCGGATGAAGAAACCACTAGAGAGATAAGAGAAAAGACAAGGGTAGCCTTAAGGAAATCTGCATCACAGAAGGTGGCTGCAGCCATGCCAGTTCGAGCAGCTGACAAGCTAGCCTCTGCTCAGTACATCCGATACACACCATCACAGCGAGGAGTGGCTTTCAACACTGGAGCCAAACAAAGGGTTATTCCAATGGTAGAAATGCAGAAAGATCCAATGGAGCCTCCAAGGTTCAAGATTAATAAGAAAATTCCCCTGGGACCACTGTCTCCTCCTGCACCTGTAATGCATTCTCCTAGTAAGAAGATGACTGCAAAGGAACAACAGGAATGGAAGATTCTTCCTTCTATTTCTAACTGGAAGAATGCAGAGTTACACAATTCCATTAGATAAATGGCTAGCTGCTGACAGAAGAGGACAAGAGGACTTCAGACAATACATGTAAACTTTGCCAAACTGGCTGAAGCTCTCTACATTGCCGATTGAAAGGCCTGGGAAGCTGTGGAAATGTATGCCCAAGTGGAGGAAAAGATGGCTCAAAAAGAAAAGGAGACACACAAAGAGAAGCTTAGAGAAATGGCCCCGAAAGCCAGAGAGAGGAGAGCTAGGATTAAAACCCATGTGGAAAACGAGGACGGAGAAGCACAGGAAAGAGATGAAATCCGGCACAAAAGGCAAAAAGAGACAGCATGACTGGAATTTCTCCAGGACAGCTCCCAATAAGAGGTCAAAACTGCAGAGAAATTAAAACCAATGTATTAGTGAAGTTATTGCTCTTGATGTGCCCAATCCTCGAACCTCTAATGAAGTCCAGTATGACCAAAGGCTCTTTGCCAGTTCAAGGGTATGGACAATGGATTTGCAGGTGGAGAAGATGAAATTTACAATGTTTATGATCAAGCTTGGAGAGGTGGTAAAGATATGGCCCAGAGTATTTATAGACCCAGTAAAAATCTGGACAAGGACGTGTAGGTGATGACCTGGAAGCCAGAATAAAGACCAACAGATTTGTTCCTGATAAGGAGTTTTCTGGTTCAGACTGTAGACAGAGAGGCAGAGAAGGACCAGTCCAGTTTGAGGAAGATCCTTTTGGTTTGGACAAGTTTTTGGAAGAAGCCAAACAACATGGCAACTCTAAAAGACTGTCAGATAGCAGTTGTCCCAAAGAACATGAGCGTGAAGGCAAGAAGAGGAGAAAGGAGTAGATACCTCTCCAGATGGAATGAACTTTTATTCACAACCCTAATGATGCAAGTCATTGGGAAACCCTTTGTAAATGACCAGGATAAAAACAAAATCTGGGTGCCAGATCTCAGCACTACTTTTTATTCTGGGAGATGGGAGGATTAAATATTCTCTTTTGAACTTTTTTTGTTTTTTTAAAGAATTGGTTATGGGTTATGGGAAAGGGTTTGTGCTTCTCCCTTAGAAAAAATGCTGCCCCCACACAAAGAATAAAGACTGCTTCCTTTTGTGTGACACTTGGTCTGAGGATAATATTTTGTATAAGAACTTATGAATAAAGTTGTCCCAACACATGAACAGGATAGTGTTCACATTGGAATTGTGCTATCAATTGTGCCCTATTGTCCTGTTTTACTTTGGATTAGAGAAGGGAAAGTCTTGCTTAGTGTGACTCTTTGTTTCAAATAAAAACATTTAGACAAAAAATAATGTGTAATCAGATGTGGTACTACATGCCTTTAATTCTAGCTCTCAAAAGGCAGAGGCAGATGGATCTCTGTGAAATCAAGGCTAGCCTGGTCTACATAATGAGTTCCAGACCAATTGGGGGTATAGGAAGACCCTTTCAAAAAAGAAAGAAAGAAAGAATGAATGAAAGAAAGAAAGAAAGAAAAGAAAGAAAAAAAGAAGGAAAGAAAGAAGGAAAGAAAGAAAGAAAGAAAAACAAAAATTATGTGTATGTGTATACATAGGCATGAGAGTGCCTATGGAGGCTAGAAGAAAGTGTCATATCCCCTGCAGATGGAGTCATAGACCATGGTGAAGAACCCAGTGTGGGTGCTAGGAACCCAAGGGCCCTCTGCAAGAGCAGCAAACACTTAACTACTGAGCCATCTCTCCAGCCCCTCCTTGCTAATTCTTTGGTTCTCTTTTCCTGGGTTTTAATCTCCTCTTTTGGTATATTTG